TTTCGAACCCATATGTGTGTCATAAGAACATCACGCGACATCAAGAATCAGGAGATGCAAATTAAACGAAAAGCAAATCAAAATCTTACCCTCAGACTAATTTCCACATGATTGATTTAATAAAATCATTTAAAATATCATATCGTATTGTAATTGGTATGGATCCGACTAGGTAATGTAAATTAGGCGTTACAACAGATGATGTAGGCCAAAAAACAAAACAAAGGTTGTATGGTAAAATAAGAAATTGACGGGCTTCCTAACCATAAAGTAAATCAGTTGTCCTTGAACGTCCCGCTTATATAGTTTTTCTATTGGAATGGTCAAATTCACAATAGGTTCGATACTGCTATCGGGAGTATCCGTGAAAAGTAGAAGAGGAAGATCTTCGGACAATCCAGCAATCTTGCAAAGATGTGGCTTCAAAGAATTGAATGATTCAGAACGATCCAGTTCAACGTGCCCACAGAAGACAAGTGACCAGCTAGTATGATCAAAATATTTGATAAAAAACATGTTCTTATTTGAAGCTGGACTTGAAAGATGATTGTCTAAAGAAGGGTTGTCTAATTGTGAGTCAAGATCTGAGACGTCCCCTCCGTCTTGTAAGGAATTGTCGAAGATTTGAACAAAGAGGACCAAGGGGCTTTCAGGACGAATATTAGGGTTCAGAGGATTGGCAGCAAGTTCGACAAGATGGGTAAAGCAATGTTTTTTTCTGAAACGAAGGAAAACTAAAATCTGTCATAATTAAAGAAAAACAGCAGATTGACTCGAAGCAAAGTTAATCAATCGTTTTAAAAAGTTATCAAGTATTCAGCAAACGTTTTTTATGCAATTTTAGAAAATACTTTGAAAAGAAGGAAATCAAAATGCATTCAAACAGGGTTGCCTAAAATCCAGATCGTAATGAGTCTCGTAAAAGCAAGCATGTGTCGCTAGATAAGTTCGAGGGCTAAATTGATAGATTATGCATATAAAATCAAATAATTAGGCCATCTAGATAGACTACATGAACTCAAAGATAAATAGTCACGACTATATGATATTGAAATTAACCAAGTTGGCCAATTTAGCTCAGAAACAAACTAAACCCAAATTAACGGATAAGGGGGATTTGAGATTTATAGATTATGCTATGCCAGAAAAAAGGATTTAACACTCTATTGACGTGAATCCTTGACGGAAAAAGGATTTCCGGTTAAATAAACCAAGGTATATGCATTCTAAGTCTCGACAAAAAAAAAGTGAAATGAGGTTAGAGAATGAGTTTAATGGCATATAGCACGGCTAAGTAATCTAAAAAAAGGTAGATGATTACGCACATTCGCTACATCGTTTATTAAAGAAGCACATTAAGATTGGAATCATTAAAAAAATTTTATTTGTATATACATAAACAAGTACTGTGTGAATAAAAAATAATAAAACAAACCTTTGTCGAAATTGCCATAATTTGATATCATTTGGCTTGTGGTTCAAGGTTTTGGCTATATTCTCTATCAGCTGAATCCGTTTTGCCTCTTTATGAACTCTAATAGCACGAGCTTGTATGCGTTTTACGTCACATAATTCAGGTCCCTAAAAATTATAGAATTAACTGGTCATAGCTGACGAAATAAGCTCAAATTATCGTGGAAT